GAGGTGAGAGTTATGGCCGAGCACCGCCGGCTCCCCCGCCTCTCGCCAACTCCCCTTGCCTTGCCAGGGGTATTTTTAATCAGAGCTAGCTGCTCTTTGAAGGTAGAAGGGGTTTGTGCCTTAATGTATTCTCTCCTCATTATTTTCTGTAGCAGGCAGCTCAAATGTGCAATTGTACTCGTCAGCTTTTTAGTTTTTACAATTATATATATATTCTAATTAAGCTCCACTGTTTGACAAAGCTTGAATTACAGTATCATAATTCACACCCAGTATATTGCTAGGCCGTCTGCAGCACTCGGAGTGAGGTGTATTCCATTTTTAGTGCCAGCCCACGGATCTCTTTGTGCAATACATATGTGTTTAGCTTCCCTGGGAATTGAGAGCCCGCGACGGTACAAGATTGACAGCCCGGGAGATTACGGGAGAATGCAAAGCAGGTACAAGGGCAGTGGAAAGTAATTCCAACTGCCTGACTTTCATGCATCTACCTTAGGAGCGACGCGGCGGGCAGCGGCTGGGAGAGCAGGAGGAAAGTGCGTGCCGAGGTAACCGAAAGCACCAAGGTCTCCCCAGTGACCAACCTCGTCTTTTTGGCTCTGAGTTACGGTGTCGGCACATGCAAATGGTTCCCTGTGCAGGGCACCCATGGCTGTGCTGGCACCTCTGGGCAGGTGCTGGGGATGGAGGCGTTTTGGGTGCAGAGCCGTGTCACGCTGCTGGGCTGCATCCTCGCAGCGGCATTTTTCCAGCAAAGATACAGCCCCGAAGGTCTGTGGGGAGCAAATGGCTGCTCCTCTGCGGGTGCAGGTCTGCTCTGCAGCAGCTGGGGTTCCTCCAGCAGCACCGGGGATCCCCAGGGACCTCTCCTGGAGCAGCTGACAGCACGCTGCCGCCGGCCAGAGCAGCAATCCTGGTCAGTACAGACCAGAGCTTCAGACTCACCAATGCTCTCCACCACCACTGCCTGGGCACCGGCCCCAGCCGCCTGCCAAACGCGTGGGAACTTTACTTGCAATTGCCAAGTTGCTTGCAAAGGTCGAGTTCTTGTGCTAAGACCAAAGCAGAGTTCTATGTGCGTAGGGAGAGCAGAGCTCCTCGGAGTTGGGACATTACAGATGCTCTCGGAGCAGCGCTGGCGGGCCAGGCGGGTAAGGACAGCTTCATTGCAGCTGGACTTCTCTCTAGAGAGGTGCCCAGGCTGTCTCCTGAGCACAGACCTCCTCCTGGAGTTAGTTCTGC